ACCACAAAGCCCTCCTTCTTTCTTGCTCGGTCAACAGTGATAAAGGCCCATCAGCTTTCAGATTTTTAAACCCTTGGATCCACCACACAAATTTCATTTCAATTGTCAAGGAATGCTGGACCAAAATGCCTACTGTTGGCGGTATGCATGGACTTGTAGCCAAACTCAAGGGTCTCAAATCCTGTCTCAAGGCTTGGAACAAGGATGAGTTTGGTCATATTTTCGATAACCTCAAGAATGCTGAAATTTATGCCACTACCACCCAGCAGCTATATGAAGATAACCCAACGGAGGCCAACCGTGTAACAGCACAGGAAGCTAACGCCAGGTTGCTCCTTGCTAGCCACAAAGAAGTTGTCTATTGGAAGCAAAAAGCAAATGCCAAATGGCTAGAACATGGGGATATGAATTCCAAGGTGTTCCATGCTTTCGCCAATGGCAAGAGAAGGAAGCTTGCTATCAATCATATCATTTCTCCTACTGGTATTGGGCTCTTAGACAGTTCCCAGATTCGTGATGCGGCAATAACCCATTTTTCCAAACAGTTCCTGGCCCCTGCCGAACCACCCCCCTTGCACAACCTATCCCATTTACCTTCCCTCCTTTCAGACGAGGACAACACCATGCTTACTGCCCTCCCCACCTTGGAGGAGGTCAAAAATGCTATTTGGAATCTGGACAGCAACAGTGCCTGAGGACCTGACGGCTACAACGGGGTTTTCTTTAGAACCACTTGGGATATCATCAAGGAAGATATGCTTAAAGCCTCCCAAGAGTTCTTCTTAGGGTTCGCCATCCCCCATGCTTTTGGAAGCACCCTTATTACTTTAATCCCTAAGAAGGATTGCCCTAAAAGCTTCGACGACTACAGGCCCATTTCTTTGAGTACTTTTATGAGCAAAGTTAATACAAAGATTTTAGCTTGCAGGTTAAAAATCATCCTCCCCAAGATTATCTCCAACAATCAAGCGGCGTTTCAAAAAGGGAAGTGCATGTCTGACCACATTCTCCTTGCTATGGAAGCTTTGCACAACTTGAACAGGAAAACGTTTGGAGGAAACGTCATCATTAAAATTGACATGGCCAAGGCGTTTGACACCCTACGGTGGGACTACCTGGAGGCGGTTCTTCTTCGGTTCGGTTTTAGCAACAAAGCTACTAACCTTCTCATGGCTAACCTAAAAGGCAGTATGCTCTCAGTCCTCATTAACGGGCAACCTGCGGGCTACTTTCCCATGACTAGGGGTGTCAAGCAAGGCGACCCTCTTTCGCCTCTTCTTTTCATAATTGCAAGTGAAGGTTTGTCTCGGCTACTTAACAGAAGCATGGATGAATCCCATATCCAGCTTTACAACATGGGAAGTGTGAAGTTTATAGGGCACCTCACCTATGCCGATGACATAATGATCTTTACTAAAGGTGACTCCATCAATCTACTCAAACTCAGGAAGCTGCTGGATGAATACTCTTCAGATTCTGGTCAGGTCATTAATTCAGCCAAGAGCAAGTTCTACGTCAAAGAAACCACAAACAGTACCCACCTGCAGAACATGGAGAAAATCCTGGGCATGCATTTAGGATCCTTACCCTTCACCTACCTTGGAGCTACCATCTGCAAAGGGAAACTTAAAAAACACCACTGTGGCAGCCTGATGGATCACTTTGACAAGCATATTCACTCGTGGTATAGCAAAACACTGAACCAAATGGGACGCCTGATTCTCACCAAGCATGTTCTCTCGTCCATCCCACTACATATTCTAGCCGTGCACTCCCTCCCGGTGGCAGTCATCAATCTTCTTCATACTAGGATGGCCAATTTCTTTTGGGGAAGAAGGCACGGCAACCAACTACACCACTGGAAGAGCTGGAAACATCTTTGTCAATCCTCAAGCATTGGTGGGCTTGATATTAAGGATCTTCAAACACTTCAACAGAACCAATCGATCAAGCTTTGGTGGCGGGTGAATCATGATACAGGTGTCTGGGCTAACACCATGCGAGCCATCTACATGCGCAAGGGCACAATCAAAGAGAAGCTCACTGATTCCACGCCATGGAAGAGAATTTGCCGGGTTCACTCCTTC